TCATCCCAAAAGTCAAGCCAGAAACATCAGATCTCAAAAATAAATGTTCTTTAATGGTAGTTCCTTTGGTTCAGCAAAAAGCATCTTGTTGAACTGCTTTGTGATGGGTAGGGTTCTTGAATTGGCTCTCTGGTTCTTATTTGCAGATTAAAAATGATGCTCCTGTTTATATATGTGTGTGTGTGTGTGCGTGTCAGGCTCAGAAATGAAGTTTTCCATGAAGTGACAATTATTGCCCCTGAAATTGATTTTCAAGGCCATTTTTTTTACTTTTGTATGGGCAATTTTTCGGATTATCTTTGTTGTCTTTTATGTCAAATACGTAAATATAAATATAAATTATTTCAATAAATCAGAATATAGACTTACCACTAAAATGACAAATGTCAAACAGCATTTTTACACTTGCAGAGGTGGAACAGAAGCTGCATCTGATCTGACGTGATGTTTATTTACACAGACATTTATTGCTGCTCCAACGTGGTGTGCATTAAGTATATACAAATTATTCTAAAATTAAATAATTATGCTACACAGACTAAACCAATTCAGAACATTTATGATTTTTTTTTTCCGTTACAAAAACAAGACTTTATATTGGTTTTCTTAGTAGCATGAAGAACAAAAGTTTATTTAAACTACACTCTAAAAAATGCTGGGTTAAATACAACCCAGTGCTGGGTAAAATAGGGACAAACCCAACAATTGGGCTATTTTGACCCAGCGGTTGGGTTAAATGTTTAACCCAACCTTCTGGGTAGTAACCCAACCGCTGGGTCAAAACAACCCAATTGCTGGGTTTGTCCCTATTTTACCCAGCACTGAGTTGTATTTAACTCAGCATTTTTTAGAGTGTAGGAAAGAATTCTCTACAGAAAGCAAGCAAAGAACGTTTCCCATCACTGAAGCGGTCGATAGACATCATGTCTCTGATTGGCTACTGCATTCATACACTTAACAGAACTGGGTGTGATTGGCTATAATGCTCAATTATTAAGTAAAAGAAATGCAACGTGAGCAGACCTAAGTGTAATGCGATACTTTCACATTTCACTTTAATCATAACTGTGGTTATGTTTAGTAAAAAATTTTTTTTTTTTGCCAACTGAGCTTATCTTAAATTTGGCTCAGTGGTAGAGCATTGCGTTAGCAGCGCAAAAGGTCGTGGGTTCAATCCCAGGGAACACACATACTGGTAAAAAATTTATAGCCTGAATGCACTGTAAGTCGCTTTGGATAAATGCGTCTGCTAAATGCATAAATTTAATTTGATTTTGGTGTCTTTTTTCCCCAAAGCCCTGGTTAATTTCTGGTCCTGGTGTGTGTGTGGTGTTGTTGATGTATCTTTGGCTTGGAATGGAATGTTACAGCAGAGTGTGATGATTCTCGAAATTCTGAAGTAGAAAGACTGTTCTCACCCTCAGTTGCATGTGTTGCTGAGATTTGACACCTGAGCACCGCTGCTGTGCTTTAGAGGAGTCTCGGGTTACGTGGAGAGCGTAAAGGACCTCTGTAAATTATTCATAACTTGAATCTTAAGGGTGTCTTGAGTTTGAGCGAGCAGAGTACATCCCCATTCCTATTTCTCTCTCACTCTCTCTCTGTTATCTCTCTCCTTCTGTGGCCCCTATTACTCTCTCCATTAGCTCAGACAAAGTTAAAGTGTTGAAGGAATTTTAAATGAAGGCCAAAGTGTAGAGAGTGAATTTGAGCTTTTTTGACACTGGCAGTGTTCTCGTATGTGTCTGTGTGAGTGTGTACATAGTTTTCTTCGATCCTGATGAGGTTTAGGGCAGGCTGTGCTTTGTCACAATGTTCAATTTAAGCCAATTTTCAAACACTTCCTATACTATATACTGTTTAATACACTCTCTTACACATATACTCTAATTGGGTTAGGATGGATGGATGACGCTGTATTTCCAGGGATTAGGCAAAACACGTCTTCTGGAAAAAGTAATATACATTACAGTAAAAATCATCATCGTAATGTATTGATCCAATCTGTGAGATAATGGAAACGGTATACTTTATAGTACATACTATATTTTTTATTTATGGACCAAACATTTAGGCTAGAATATTCCCAAAGCTTATTTTGTTATTTATATTTTATAGTTATTTAAATCACAAAGCTTATTTTGTTATTTATGTTTTATAGTTATAAAAAAAAAAATAATAATAATAATAAAAAAATAATAATAAAAAAACATAATATCCACTTCATTCAATATTTTCTTGCAAATCCATTAAAAC